TGAGGCCTGGAAGAGATCTGGGAGGCTGTTAGTGGGGGCAGTCTCAGCAGTCATCGGGGTTGGAGCTGGCGCAATGCGGGCCGGAGGCTGGAGCAGGCTGGTGCAACTCTGTAACCTAGCCTGATGGGGGCATGAGGCCTGGTAGAGATCCGTTTTTTTTGCTGTAAACGCCCATACCGGCGTGTTCATAGAGGGGATTGTATGAGTTTCCATCTATTCTTTTTGTGATTGGGAGGACCTCTGGTACATCCAGATCTGAATTTTTTTTAGAAACTTTTCATTATAAAAAAGAACTCAAAAACAGATGTTCTCATTTGGTTCTTGGTTGCTTTTGGCAGTCTTGAGAATGCCTTAGGATTCTGGGTATCAATTATGGTGGTTCTCTTGCCACTGCCGGGATAGAGGCCTTGCAAAAAGGGCTTTCTTTTTAAAATAAAAAAAAGTAAAAAAATAAAAAAAGGATTCTGGGCACTCCTTGCAAAAGCGAAAGCTGATAAACGGAATGCTGCACAAAATCAGGGAATGTACGACTCACGCAGATAGGGCGGGTGAAAGTCTGCTCTCGCTGAATCGCGAATTGAGAAAGYAGTCCTTCCCCGATGACCTGTTCGAACAGACCCTGTGGCAATTTGTCAGAAGATGTGCTCCGGACTGGACGCAGGTAGCAAGGCAAGTGACCCACGACATTAGGGTCACAAGCAAAGACSGGGTYGGGTTTTGATTTCGCTTTCGCTTTCTCGAAGTCTCCTAGGCYGGGTTTGGTCCTTTTGGGAGTGTTTCTAGGCTAGTTGTCGGGGGTCTGGTAGTTCTGATAGGAGTTGTTAGGCCTTCTGTCCACGGGCGACTTAGGCCTTGTCAGTTTTGAACTCGCACCATTTTTTTCAGTTTGTGCGTTTGTGGTTTATTTAGCGAAAATCTGTAGGGACTGTTAGTAGGACCTATTAATAGAATGTTAGCCAGTAGATGAGACCTCTTCAGTCGCTGAATCGTGACGAACCGTGTGTGTAGTACCTGTCTCTTATACACATCTAGATGTGTATAAGAGACAGCGCGTACGCTTGGATGCCGTGATTTTTTCACGCTTTCCTTGTTTCGGCATTTTCAAGTAATCGTTGGTTTCACGATCACGAAGTTGTCGATTCTCTGTGTGAATCTCTGTGTGTTCATTTTCAATGGACTGACGCGCTGTGTGTTTGCCTTTATGACGAACGCTACACCGAACTCACCTGCCTGTGACCGAGCGCTGCAACCTGCTAAGGGAAGACACTTTGACTTTGGTGGCAGCGAGAACTTGACACTAAGGAATTGTGGTTGACGTGAAGACTTTCGGAAGACGAAGAACCTGAAGTGTGACTGCAAAAGTATCTGTGACAAAGAACCGAACTAGGCTTCGATAAGAAGAAGACGACATCAGGCGAGGTCGAATAAGGCATGGGGAGTAGGAGAGATGAGCCGCGAGGGCGATATGAAAGGTATAGAGGATATGATAGCGGCGGATGGGATAGTGGTGATGACAGGCGTGACCGAGGGAGAGAAAGGGAGCGAAGAGCCGATTACAGAAGGGGATCCTCAGCAGAGGAGTACGGGAGAAGGAGCGTTAAGTGTTATGAATGCAGGGAGATTGGGCACTACAGAAGTCAGTGCCCTCGCCTGCAAGGCAGGAGTGGAATAGGTGGAGGAAGTGGTGGGACGGTAATGTTCAGCCAAGAGTTGGAGAATTCTTTAAGTTCTGTAGGAAGAATGGCCAGACAATTGTTGGATCAGCAGGCAGCGGCAGAAGAAGCCGAGCGCGAAGCTGAAGCGAAGAAAAAGAAAGAGGAAGAAGAGAAAGCAGCGAAGGAAGAAGAAGCAAAAACTGCCCTGGCCAGGAAGCTGGAAAAAGAAGTGGAGGAGAAACGACGTCAGTGGGAGATAAAGAAGTTGTTGGTTCAGCAACGAGAGGAGTACGAAGAAAAGTTGGAGAAGCCGGTTGGCCTAAATCGAAAGATGAAAGGGATAACGATTGGAGCAAGGAAGAAGAAGTGCAACGAGATGCCGCCGTCAACATCAGACGAAGATGAAGTAGCTGAAGAAGTTGAAGAAGTCATGCCGCTGAAAGATAAGCGGAAGTGTCGAGACTCGACAGGGGTGGTTGAGAGCAGCCCACCTGTGGAAACTCCGACAAAGATGGGGAAGTTAGTAGAGGCAGGTACACCAGCTAGCCAGAAACGGAAAGGAAGAGGTACACCGACGAAAGCGGACTCGCAAGTAGCACGATTGGCAAAAGGCGAAAACCCATGGGAAGGAGTGCCTCTGGCCGACAAGTACGCAACCGAATCTGCATACAGGAAGGTAGTAAGGAGGACTATTGCCTCCTTTTACCCCGAAACTCTGAAGGCAATGTGCAAGGGAGCCGAACTACCCTTCCACGGGGTAAATGATGCAGTAGATATCTTGTTTGAGCTAAGAGTTACCTACTGCTATAGGGGTAAGAAGCCGTCGGGTTCGTCTTCGGACAAACCGGGAGAAGAAGAGTAGGTAAGGGGCGACGTTCAAGACCCCAAAGGAGAGCAAGACGAGTAAGTCAGATAGCTGGGGTATTCTACTGAAGTTCCTGGAGGAACGACGATGGTGCAAAACTAATCGAAGGACGAAATCGTTGTTACCACTGATTGAAGGTATATTACGGAACGTAGTCCTGCTGTTGATTCTGGAAAACGAAATCGTATGGGGGACGAAGTACGTTGAATGTTTGTGGGATGCCTTCGATAATTCACGGAAGAAATGGGCTACGCCTGAGTCATGTGTGTATATTCTTTTGGATCCGTGGTGTAAGCTCACATACATAGGAAAGACGGATAGGAAGCTAGGGGATCGTTAGTCAGAACATGTAGGACGGGCTCAGTCAAAAAACCTTATTCGAAGGAATAAGCTATACTCGTGGCTAAGAAAGTGGGGCTGGGAGTCGTACGTAAGCTTACCGTTAGCCTTTGTGAAAAAACAAGAGTTACTGAGTCTTGAACAGATACTAATCAAACGATGGTGCCCGGTGTTGAACTCCAATGAATGGAAGGACGGTAGAAAACGAAAGAAGAGGAAGAGGAAGGGAAGGAGGGAGAGGAAGAAGCAGAGGAGGGAGTTTTTTTAGGATGAGAAAGTTTTACGTTTTCAAGGCTGTGATAACGATGTTACCGGTAAGCTCACGGATGCTATTATTCAGATAAAAGGAAAGAATGAGAGACGGATAACTTCCAGTGGGGGGAAAATTTGGGTTGAAGATTGGAGTGTTGTAGAAAGAAGATTCGGAGACTCTGACATGCTGATTAGGGGGAAAAAGGTTAAACTTAAGGATTCGAAGGCTGCTTTGTAAGGCGGAGGAGAGGTGAGAGTCGTTCGCGTAAGAGAGAGACGGTCGGGGAATCCGAAACTTAAGAAACAACTCCATCAGCTTCTCAAGTGTCTGTGGTCAAAGAAGAAGTTTGAGTTGGCCACTCTGGATGAGCTTATACACCTCTACTTCGAAGTGCGAAGCTTCTCAAGAAAGAGCACGAGAAAAACGCTCAAGTATCTGTTGGACGGAGTTGGAAAGAAGATCTTCGGTGTCAGCCTGAGGAAGAAAATTGTTGTAGGTGTCAGATATGATGAAAGGATCTCACGAGCAGAGATTAGGAGATTAGTGGTAAGTAAGATTAAGTCCCAGTGTCACTCGGATGCAGAGGCGAAGCTACGGTGTCAGAAGCTCAGACTCGTCTGGAGGAAAAACCAGACTATCGGAGGACTTCTCCATAATCATAGACGATTCAGTCGTCTGATGGCCAGTGTTTGCTGTTGTGCAAACCATGATCTCCCGCGTCAGGGAGAACACGTGGCGTTTCGTTTGAGCTGCAGAGAGGACGTCGATAAAAGGATATGCAATGCGAAAAATGTCGTGCAGGGTTTTGATAGTGGGAAAGATGCAGGAAAGCTTCGTAAAGAACTAAATGAGGGGATGTCGATGTCTGGGCTGCGTCCAACATGGACACTTGGTGAAGCTAATGCTTGCATTAGGAAGGTTAGAAGCAAGAACGATGGGCTGATAGACATAATTGAAAATCTGAAGAAAAGGTGGGGTGGAATGGTCTTTTGTCCGCTGGATAAGAACCCAGCCGAGACATTGGTGTCATGCCCAGCAGCTTACCAAGAAGGTATGAGAACCATGTTTTGGGGAAACGATGCTTTTGTCCCGGTATGGAGAAGTGAGGATGAGGTAATGAACAGGTCAAAAAAGGAATTTGAAGGCAGGGGGCTTCAGAAGATTGGAAGATGGGATAGTAAAGGATCATGGGGAAAAGCGTATGTTCTCCCAAAGCACAAGGACACCTCCAAGTTCCGGCCAATTTCTCCCTCGTTCAGTGAACCGGCGAAGACAACGAATCAAAGGGTAGCTAAGGCCCTCAACCTGCTGCTTTTTTCCTCGTCGAAGAACAGCCACTTCAACCTGAAATCGACAAGTTTGTTAAAGACCCGGCTAGAAGAGGTGAATCGATGGGTTGTGAAGAAAGGGAACGGTGAACTCCAAGGCTTTGCTTACGACATCAAAGAGATGTTTAGTAAGCTTCCACACGAGTCAATAAGAAACGCAATTGATTGGATTCTGGGTTTGTTTCTGAGGAAAGGAAGAAAGTTCGTAATGGTAAAATCAAGGGGAAAGGGTGCTTCCTTTGGAAGAAAAACTGGGGAAGAGGGGTGGGTGACAGTGAGTTTTTATCTCATAAAGGAAATGGTAAACTTTGACTTGGATAACACCTTTTTGTGGGCCTCTGACCGGCTAATTAGGCAAAAGGAGGGCATACCGATGGGGAAGTCAAGTAGCCCTCCCATCGCGTGTATTCTCTGTGCTTATTATGAAAGTTTGTTCTTAAAAAGTTTGTGGAGTGACATGAGCTTGGTGAAAGGGATTAGATTAGTAGACGTGTCGCTATTTGTTTGGCAGAGTTGGGAGAAGAAAAAGAAAAGGAAAGCAAAGTCTATTGTTGACAAATTCGAGAGATCGTATGATGCTAAGCTGTGTTTGAAAAGAACTGATGAAGGACAGAATGAATGGAGCTTCCTGGGCTGTCAGGTTCGAATCGATGAGGGTGTTGTATCATGCTGGTATCGGGCGAAGAACTTTGTGGAAATCTGGGAGGATGGTCCAAACTTGAGGTACAAGTGTTTCCAAGACTACTATTCCTACACGTGTATGAAGCAGAAGCGAATGCTGATAAACGGAATGCTGCACAAAATCCGGGAATATACGACGCACGCAGATAGGGTGGGTGAAAGTCTGCTCTCGCTGAATCGCGAATTGAGAAAGTAGTCCTTCCCCGATGACCTGTTCGAACAGACCCTGTGGCAATTTGTCAGAAGATGTGCTCCGGACTGGACGCAGGTAGCAAGGCAAGTGACCCAC